GATTCCCACAAGAAGCCCTGGGGAAAAGCAAGAACTCCCCACTGTAGCTGAAGGGAGGTGCTGTCAAGCCAGAGGAAACAGCCCTAGTGACAAAGACTAGAGGAAAAGATGGAGGAGTGGGAGGTGGGCCCAGGGGACAACACTGCTTCAGCACTGTGGGGATGCCAGCGCCTCTAAAGGCACAGCAAAAAAGATTAGAGTAGAACTACTGAAAAATAAACACCTACTAGAAAGCCTTTTACTATCAAAAGCAAAGGATTAAATGAGACCTTAAATGTTTAACAGATTTTTGTTTCTGTTTAGAAAAAAAGTACAGTTTTATTGTTTCAAGTTTTGTGATATTGGAGGCCTGTGTTCACAGGTATATACATCATACACTTGTGATGTAAGGGAGAGAAATACATAAACGTTTACTTATACATAAAGGAACTCTGAGTGGCATAGAGCCTAAGGCATATGACTGCTAACCAGAAGGCTGGCGGTTCAAACACACCAGCCACTCCACAGATGGAAGACTGGACAATCTACTTCTGTAAAGGCTGTCCACCTTAGAAACCCAAAGGGGGTCACTATAAGTTGGAATCAACTCAATGGCAGTATTTTATACACACACACATATATACACACACACACACACCCATATTATTTCTATCTTTCCATTTCTTGCCCTCAGGACAAATGTGTTTAAAAAGAACACAAGTGAAGTTACTACAATGGCACATCCAAATGCCCCTGAAAATGGCAGTTTTGAAATCTATAATGGAAAAAAGGGACATACGTTTTAAAACTGTCACCCTGCAATACTACTGCCAGTATGTCAATCTGAAATATATATATTTATAATTTAAGCGCCAATCATACAAGGACAATAAAACAAAATGCTATGAGGAAAAAGGGAAAAAAAATCCCAAAGGTATTGTCTTTCTTTTCTTAAACTAACTCAAACACATAGGATGGTAAAGGCAAAGTCATTTAAATCATTTCCTTAGTAATACAAGTAATATTTAAATAGATTTAATAGTGCTGCTCCAAACCAATGAATTATGGGTTTAAAACCTATTAAAATGTAATGTTTTTTTCCTGAGCTGAGAGGAGAGAGATTTAAATCCACTGAATTTTAATATTTCAGCTTGAGCTGCAGGAGGTAGAGAAAGTCCAAATGAACTATTCCATCAGCACCATTCAAGCATGAACATTTTAATCAGTTTTACTTCCTTGGAGTTCTCTAACACAGTTTACGCTGTCATTCTGAAAGCACTTAACACAGAGAGTGTGAAAAACCACCAAGGCTTGTTATTGCCTTCACAATTGATGGCAAATAATTTTGCAGACTTCCTATCATTAAAATGTCACTGCTAAAAACTGAAGTTCAGCATTTCTTGTGCTAAACTGCATTTTCCTGGAACACCATGGCATACCTGTTCTAAAGAGGTTTTCAGGGGAGAGTGCCTTTTTTAAAAATACATACATTTCTATCATTTTTTTCCTCAAAGAGGTAGAAGCTACAAAGAAGACAGGGAAAAAAAAAAAAAGAAAACCACATTTTCTTCTTTTTTTTTTTTGTTTTTTTTACAAGCCATACATTTTCTTTTTCAATGTTCATACCAACATAACTTTTTTCTTAATGGGAGTTTCTTTGGTGAAATTCTTATGAGGTACCAACTTAGCCTCCTTCATTAAGCATAACCACATTCACACAGCATGTGCTGATTATATAGTGTAATGGATTTTAAAAGCATTTTAAGATAGTCAGATGACTCAATTTAATAATACAGGAAATGAAAACATCATTTCTAATTAGATCATATTAGTGATTTAAAACTACAATTTGTGTGTTGTTCCAACAGTGTGATCTTGCAGAGATTCTAATTTAAAAACACAGTGGCTAGTAGGACACATGACAAGATCAAACTAGATACATAACATTTCCACAGCCCAATTGGGGGAACTCGGGGAAAGCTTCAAGAGCAAATGTGAAATCCAACCAATTCAAAACAAAACACAAAATAGTAACCACAGGAAACAACAAAGAATTTTTCCTGGGTTTTTTTCTTATAAATAAAAGATAAATGATATTTAATTTACTTCAATCTATCAACAGTTTTAAACTGAACATGACCTGTGAAAGAAATCATTATAACTGTGTTTCATTCCATTAAACACAACTAGCTTATTGTCAAGAGAACAAGCTGCCTCTCCAGGTTTCAGGCTCACTTCAGCATTTTGCATTTAAACTGCATGGATCACTGGCTTGGCTCATTTACCAATGAAGGTAGAATAATATTGCAGAGTTAAAAAGGTGCTTCATCAGATTTCATTAAATCTGGGAACATTTGTGCTTGTCTGGATGGTGTGCATACATATAAAACAGATACATACCTAGTGAGTGGTACATAAATGAAGGTCTGTAGGGGTTTATGTGGGCCTTTGCCTCTCTGGAGAAACGTTTTCATTCCCTCAACACAGAAAAACAACATTGTTGACTATGTTCTAAAAATCAAGTAACAAAAATCTAAAATGGAACCCTCATTTTTGGTAGCATGTCAAAACACAGCTTGCCTCACAAGTTGGCCATGCCAAAAGGGACATGTACTAATCAGACACATAGGACAGGACGTGCATTGAAAATTCCACTCTGGACTCAAGGTACTACCCAGGGCTGAAAAAGACAAAGAAGAGCACAAGCCGCAGCAGAAATTCATCAAAGACTGTAACTGGGCTCCTTCCTTGTCACTTGGTCTGTGGTTCCCTGCAACGTCTGGGCTTATTTTTCAGTTCTTGCTATCTGTTTTTCAGAATGGTAAGATTATGTGATTTTGACTCCATTTTCTGCTCAGATACAACTAATGCAGAATCCCCCCCCCCAACCCCACTCTGTATCCACCAACCACAGGCTTGGTGTTTTGATAACATGCAGCTCTACTGAGTTAGTTCTTCAAATAAATTTTTAGGTCAAAAAATTAAATTAGCTTTCTTTTAATAATTAAATCCACATATACATTAATACGTCTGTCAGTAATGTGGCTACAGTCTAATAAATCTTCAACTCCCTGAGAAAAGGTAACCTGCCACCTCATTCAAAACAAAGTATGTAAAAAATGAAACAGATATAAAACAGTATCAAATACATAACTGATGAGATGAAGAGAAGGGAATGTGTTCTGATTCTCTATCTTCTCATACATTTTTAAGTAACATCCAACACCAAACAGTGTGGTTTTAATTTAGATTAATCTCTCCCCTGTACAATCAGTAGCTAATAAGACTTGGAAAAGAAACAAAACAGCATTCTGTTTTCCTAGGAAAGCCTGCCAATCCGACGTAAGGTAGGACAGTTATCTGAATTTAAGCAGTTCAAAGAAACAATAAGCACTAAGCCAGAAACGACCCAGCAAGCTCTCCCATCAGGCATCACTCCACACACCCTGTCCATAAACAGCAGACAATTACAGTGGGTGAGGCTTGTATGGTTTATACCTTCTAAACCACAGGAGAGTGGGAACAAAACCACCATCCAGCTTGTAGCATGCCAGGATGAATACAATACACACGTGTGCTCATTTGCACACACACTTGAGACACACACACAGCTGGTATATACACGTATTTCTAACTTTAAGATTCAAACTTTCTAAACTTTTGCTTATTTTTTTTAAATTTACTATTCTATACTGCTGTTTTCAGGAGTTTAGGGAAATAAAAACTAATTGTAAAATGCATCCATCTCTCTCTCATTCCCCTCACTAGAACATATAAAATATACGACAAATGTTGCTTGTGATTCAACAAGACTTGTTCTGATTCCGCCTCTTCTTTCCAAGGGGAACTTCTCAGGAAACAAAGGCTACTTTTTTCTATTTATGCTTTCTAACTCACTACCAATATTTTCTTGTAGTCAGTGGGACAAACACAAAATAGAGCTCAAAAGAGACCATTAAAAGACAAGCTACAATCAGAGTACTACTACTGCTCCACCACCTTCGGCAGTGATGCCAGAGTTCTGATTTCCTTGTTAAAAGACAGAGGCATAATTGAAGCAATATCTTCACTTCAGATTGATTATCAGGCGACCCTTATCCGCATCTTCACTCAGCAATTTGAATTTTAATGAAAGTAAATGGAATGATTAGCATTTCAAAGTATATTTGATACACCAAGGGGGGAAAAGACTTCTGTGTATAATCTATACACAAAAGAAAGTATTTCGGAGGGAGCAGAAAGTGGAGAGTACCGTGGTAGTGTGTTCATTAGAATGACCTAAGGAACTGCTTGTACCAGCTGCAGAAATGGAAATGTGAATATTGTGCTCTTTTCAACTTGGTTTTCTCACCTCTACTATTTAAGTTTTAACAACTTATTTTATTACTTGTTACATTAATCTGGAAGAACACAAATATAAGTGGAGTGGGAGTGACTGCCCAGACTGATGTTTTCCAAAAGAGTTCTACCCAACATTAATGCTACTATTGCCAAGAAGGATTGTACAACTGGGCCACCTATTTAAAAGGATGGGTGGTGGGGTGGGGAGTTGTGTGTGTGTGTGTGTGTGTGTGTGTGTATGGTTCATCTACTATTCCTACTACAAATAGACACAGGAGAGATGTTAAAATAAACATTTAATTTCACTAAAAATGAATTTAAGATACTCTGTATCATCATTTCAGGGGAGATAAAAGCAGTCAGGTCATTTTAACATCAGGGTAATCTACATCTTTTTACAGCATAACCTAGCAACAGAAGCTGACTGCAAAGGAAGTATTACCAAAAAAAAAAAAAAAATTCTCCTTAGAGGACAATTTTCTGAAAAATACCTATTTAAATCAGTGAGAACATGATCCAAAGTTTCTGAAGTAACCATCAAAGTTCATATGAGATTTTAAAGCAAAGTGCTTAATTTCACTTTGCTTTTTGCCTCTTTGATGGAACAAAATTTAAAAAGAGAAAGCGAGAGAGCTGACGACAAACACTAAGATCAGAGCTAAAATGGAAAGGCCACGTACCCCAATGATGGCGTTCAGCTCTGCCATGGTCACCTGCTTGGCCCGTTCCACAGCCTGCACCACTTGTTGCTGGTGCTATAAATGAAGATCAGAAACAGAATACAATTATTTGTTTTCTTGTCAGTCAAGAACAGCTTATCCTAACATGTCCTCTAGCTTCAATGTCATGCAAAACAGGATTTAGGGGTCTCCGTATTTCCAAATAAAAGCCCAGAGTGGAGAATGACTACATGTCTAGGAACATGTGGGGGTCTATAAGGCTGAGAAGGAACTGGGCTTCCAGCTGCAGGTATCACCTCTGCGCCCCACTGCAGGATGCTCCCCTACAGCTGCTCAAACACCCCTTTCAAGTCGCAGAGCACGACCGTGCATCTTCCACCAACAAGCAAAGCGCCACAAGTCCTCCTTCGTACCTTCTTTTCTCTTTGCCACCTACATGAAATTTGTTCAAAAGTCTTTTCTAGAAGTATTCCTTTTTAATTTTCTCCTGATATTTTTAAGAGGAGACATTGGAAAGACATACAGAATTCAATGTTTATGTGTCTTCGAGAAATCTGAGAAGTATTCGTATTTTATCTCCAGTCATGAAGGATAGGCTACATACTTCAAAGATCAAAAATGTACACACACACACACACACACACACACGTACTCCAGAAAAAGTACAACCCTCACTAGCAGTAAAGTTAAAGGACTTCAGGTATTTCTTTAAAATGCAGTTGTTATTGTTGTTATGTGCCGTCGAGTCAGGCCCAAATCATAGCGACTCCTCCTTGGGTTTCCAAGGCAGTATACAGAAGAATGCCCAACCTTCCTTCCCAGGACTGGCTGGTGGGTTTTAACCACCAGCCTTCTGGTTAGCAGTCAAGTGCCTTAGACACTACGCTACCAGAGTGCCTTTAAAATGTAGTAGAAAGACTGAAACAAGTGTTTTTTTTTTTCCTTTCTGAAAAACTAAGACAGATTGCATAGGAAAATTCTTCCATCCATGATCCCGTTCAGAAGAGAATGAGCAAGAAACAATGTCACTAATTTTTTTAATATTGAGAAAATTAAGCAGCACAGAATTCTCTGCATGGAGGCACTTACATGTGGACCGACATAAGTACTTACATAAGTAACCCTACAATGTTAAGTATTATTCCCACTAAATACACTTGAACACCTTCATATCTACAGATTTAAATTTGGTCTAAACAAGATCTCTTCTGGACGACTTTCAACTAGGTTTTGTGAAAGAGCCAAATGAACTGTGCTGTGAAGCAGGCATTCCTCTATGTGGGACTGGAAGGGCCCTGTTTTGGTTAATCCCAGTGAGAAATTTAATCAGCTTTTCCCACTGATTTGAAATAAATATGAAGCTCAGCTAACATTTTATTTACTACATACAAAGAGTTAACCCTTTCATAACCAAATTACTTTCTGCTTTGAATTTTTGTTGATACCCTGTGTTTTCAGTAATGGAAGGCATGCTGAAATCGAAGGGAAAATAGTTTTTTGAAGTAATGTTGATTTTGATCAATTTACATGGGACACATATGTCCTAAGTAGACTCTGGTGATAGGATTGGTGGGGTGAGGCTCATTTCTTCAGATTCGCGCAGTTATAAGAGCTCTGGTGGCATAGTGCCTAAGGCATTTGACTGCTAACCAGAAGGCTGGCGGTTCAAACCCACCAGCCACTCCTCAGAAGGAAGACTGGGCAATCTATCTCTGTAGACATACTGCCTCAGAAACCCAAGGAGGGGTCGCTATCAGTCAGGGCCAACTCAACAGCAGTGAGTCTGGTTTGACTTTGGTATACAGGTCCCCACCAGGCAGCAGCAGGTACTACAACTGGGATATGAGTTTCCCAAGAAACCTGAGAACTTAAAACTTGGTGGGTGATGTATATTCCACAGGTCACAAAATGGTAACGCCATCAGTTAAGTGTCGAATTCCCCTTGAAGTATCCAGTCTGTGCTCCAAAATCCTCAAATATAGTTATTAACCAGAGTGAAAAGAGCTCTGCTGGTACAGTAGTTAAAGCACTGGGCTGCTAATCAAAAGGTTAGCGGTTCAAACCTACCAGAGAAACTCCACAGGAGAAAGATAAGGTAATCCTGCTTCTGTAAAGATTCACAGCCCTGGAAACCCATGGAGCAGTTCTACTCTATCCTACAGGGTCACTATGAGTCAGAACGGACTCAATGGCAATGAGTTAACCAGAGTAATTACTAGCCCCACCATACAGCTGGGGGTAGGGTAAGGAGGAGGAGGAGGAGGAGAAAACTGCTTTAAGTTGGTATCTACAATATGGCATTCACCCCCCCCCGGCTTCCTAACAGAAATGAGTATTCTATGCCTACAACTAATGGAAAGAAAAATGTCAAATAATAATAGATAACTGCATTTTATTTTTCAATGGACTCTGAACATTAAACTATGTATTTTGATTTACTTTTTCAACTGTAGGAGTTTCCGTTCAAAACAAGGTTTAAGATACAATCCTGAAGTCTTTTAGATGTCTCCATCCACTCACGTATTCTTTAATAAAATACATGCCAAAGTGAAATAATTCATTTCCCTCTTTCTCTGAAGAAAGTAAAAGTCCTAATAAATTGTGAAATCAATAGAAGGAATACAGAGGCACAGCCAACACAAAGGCCCTAATTGTCACTTTCCTCTGAAGCAAGCCTGACTTACTAGGTGTCAAGGACAGAGGTCATGTTTAGACTTAAGATAATCTGGTTCTGAAAGTAGTGAAAAATGGCAATACTTGGAAAACACAGGGAAAGATAATATGTAAGATTCTGAGGCTTAGCTGGCACTCAAAATGAGAGGATTATGAACAGAAAATTTTCCACCTTTTATTTTCTCAATATTCAACAATGGTTTCTCAAACATTCCACAAAACCGAAAGTAAAAGGACCACATGTACCCAGATCCAACGTTTATCATTCATTCTGCTCATCTAGTCATTCACGCAACAAAACTTAAAAAACAAAACTTAAAAACTCTTAAAAAAGAGTAAGCTTCTGTGCATTTCTCCGTATTACTGAAATAATACCCATTTTATATTAGATATTTAAAGAGCAATTACATGAGAAACAGAGACACAGAAAACACATCTGGTTAGGGTCTTTCTACCATCATGATCATTCAACTCTTGCTTCATAAACTGGATTCCAGTTGTTAAGATGGGCTAAGATAGCTTAGGCAGTGGGGATATCTTTCCGGCTTGGCACTAAAACCAAGTGCATTTATTGAGAAAATCAAAAAGAAACACCAGTGAGCCGTACCCATGACATCAGATGCTCCAAAGAAACTCTTGCTGAAAAGCTAAAATGACAGTGGAAGCCATGATCCAGCGCCTTTGTTTTCTTTGATGGCAATAGCCGTGGGCTAATACAATATCTGAACTTTACCTGTAGTTCAGATTTTACTTCCCTATTTCTGCTTACAACCGTGAATCATTTTAAGGACTTTTTGAACATAAGCTCCCTAAGGCAGAGAATGCCTTCCCCCAGTGCTCTGAGAGTACCAGAAACATGCCGGCAGTGCTCACTCAGCCACACAATAACACTGTATCACAGACGAGCAGCACACACCAGGTCGAGCTGTGAAAATTAAAACTCAGACAGGAAGAGAGGCAAAAGGTCACCAAAGAAAAAAACGAACACTACAGGAATAAGCCCAAAGCACTCCTGTAAGCAGACACAGAGGAGGCACTTTATGTCTATGTTCAGATTTTAACAAATAAGGTGTCTGACTCAGAAAATACAGTGAGTTTTTCACATCTTCTTAGAACCATGGTAGCTTTCCCATTATGTCTGCCACCTCCTCCCCTTTTCTTCACCTTCTCCATCTGCTCCTCTCCTCCTACTCCACCCTACATCTCTCCTACTTCCTGCTTATCCCCTCTGCCATTGCACAAGTGGTGACAGCCACACTAGAGCCAGTAAATCTACAAAAGGGAAGAGCCTATCATGGTTTTTATTGCTCAAGTGGTTCATTTAGACTGAGCTCCCCCGTACTTTCCACCAGCATCACCATATAAATTCTCCTTAGGCTAAATTAATAAGCCAAGGGTAAGAGGGGGATTTTCAAGAGACAAAAAAATGTCCTCTTATTTATTTTGTACAATACCATGATTTAAGACATATAAGCATGGTTGAAATATTAAATCTTACACATTGAATCACTTTCCTATTTACTTTCATCATAAAATTATTTTTTTACATTTGTTCTGGGAAAGTATTAAAAATACTTTTTTGACAAGAAAAACACTAAAGTAATATAAGCTCATGACAAGCCCAACAAAGCCTGCTGAAACGCCTTCTCAAATCACTAGCCCGTGTACAGTAGGTGTTCAATCAACATTTCTCAGGATGGATTATGATGACAACACCTGAGAGATACTTTTAGGGCATGACAACAGTGTCATACTTCTAGTAAAAACAGTAATTACAAAACCAACCATATATTACAACGTACAATTTTTTTTTAATATCCTTCTATTGACCAAAGTAGTAAGACCAGAGCTATAAAACAAACTAGGATTCTTATGAAGAAAACTCAAAAGAACTATCAGTCTTATAAACAATGTTATCAATCAATGTTCCTGACATTTGAAAAGGTAAAAATGAGCAAGACAATCCTTCTTGCAAAGCTCACAGTCAAAACCAGTAACCAGATGCCACTGAGTCAATTCTAACTCATGGTGGCCCCCACACGTGTTAGAGTACAACTATAATCCACAGGGCTTTCAATGACTGATTTTTCAAAAGTGGATCTGCAGGCCTTTCTCCCAAGATGCCTCCGGGTAACTCTCTGACCCACTCAAGGACTGACATATAGTGAGCACATCTTAGAGTACAGGAAAGGAAGACATAAGATGCAAGGCAAGGCTGTAGGAGGGGATACCCAGCACTTCTTTGGGCATCAGAAAGGCTTCATCAAGTAATTATTAAGCACTCTGATGTGGTTTTTTATATGCCAGGCACTGTGCTCAACATTGAGTTTGGAGTAATGAATGAGACCAACCATGGGCCTTGCCTTCCTACAGCTTATACGCTATCAAGTCAGTCAGCAGAT